AGTTTTTTCTTTCACGCGAAGTTATTGAATATCATTATTGCACCATTTATAATTTTGATAAATCTTTTTTTGCTATTCATTATAAAAATAATCTTAACTCTATACTCACTTTACAAGTGGCATCATTGTTACAAGTTAACTTAGAGTAATGTTGTCACTTAGTTCTAAGATCTTGTGGTATTATTCTTCGCTTGTAAGTAAAAAGTTTTAGGTTTAATTCTCGCCAAAGGCGAATTTGAACCATATTATTGCTAGTTCATTGTGAGGCTTAACCTACTCTCCTAACCAGTGTAGATAATTGTTTGTTCCCAAAAAAAAAAAACTTAGAGTAATGCTATGTAGACCAATTTTCAAGATTAAACTTGCAAATCATGTGATGTGTCCCTAATAAAAAATAAGCATGCTAATCAAAACTTAAGTAATAATTAAATTATCAAAAACCATGCTACATGTTTTACAAAATTTAGTCTAAATAGTTGGTCGTGAACTTATGGTGAAGCATGAAGTTTGTATCCAAAAACTACGAATTATTGTTGTTCATACCAACTCTAACTCAATGGCTCCATTATTCATGGCGTAAACCTAAGTTCAACACTCAATGTAAACCTAACAAATAAAAACCACAAGTATTTATATTTATCTCAATTTGACTATAATAAATACGTACGAGGAGTTTCTCCTTTATTTTTGCCAATAATGTTTGGAAATATCAACCTTAATCTTCTCTATTATAGCTTAATTTTTACCTAATATTATTATCAACTCATGCATTCACAGTTTTTTTCAAAAATATTACATGCATACCAACGTATACAAAATAAAGTTACCGAGGGTTGATGAGTTGACGGTAATTAGCATGCCCTTGTCTATATGGAGTGTTCTTTTTACAAAAAAGGATTAACTGGTGATTTTATCACGACAGTTCACTTTTTTGGAGGTTAGAAAGACTCATTGAGGCATATTAGTCTCTCGTGTGATTCACCAGTGCCAAAAATTAAACTCAAAACGTGCCATATGGAATTCGAGCTTAGAAGTCGTTCCCAACAACTGAACCACCTTGTAGTGGTTTATGCAGTGTTGAATATACATTAAAACAACTTATACATATAGTAATGTTACGATGATTAGGTTTAGTGCATGAGTGCATGGTTTCCACGTAGTGGCCAACTTTGGTATATTATGATTCATGGGTGTCATAGATTATTTTATCGTGTGTTTATATATATCTCTGAATTAATGATTTTGTAGCATCATTATATTGGTGCAAAATAAATAGAAACTCTTTCATCTCTTTCACTACTTGAAGCTGAATACTAACATAAGGCTTCGTAATTATTCTTTAAAAGTGTACGATATGTTTACTGGTGTAAAAAGAACCCGAACACGAGATCGGATTTTCAATATTTTCTACTAATTTTTTTTTTTTAAAGATTCACAAATCACAGCATTGGCCGTAATTGGGTTTAATTTGCGATGTTAAAAACTCGTAAGAACTATTTTTACATGATTTTAATTATTAAACTAGGTTTTTTTTTTTTTTTTTTTTAGGGATCAAAGATTTAACTAAGTTATAAAAATATGAATTCATTACCCATATTGGAAGGAAATTAAACATAAAATCTCGTACGCAGGTTCCCTTTTTTTTTTTTTTTTTTTTTTTTTTAACAAACGATATCATTTACACTAAGGGAGAGGGATCGACTTAGCCTTATAATAGGTCATCAATAATATGGTTTAATCCACCTTTGGCAAAAATATAACCTAAAAACCTCTATCTTACAAGTAAAAATGAATACAACTAGATTGTAGTATTAAGTGACTTTCATATCTGTCCAGTTTAGTTTTTATTTAAGATTAAACTACACAAATACAGATTACCATAATCGAGTAAGATTTGATAAGCTGGTATTTCAAATATACCCTTATGTTTTTCTCTATTTAAAATTGAATATAACAATTTATTTTCCTCTGTTGGGTTCACAATTCGAACTTCTGACCATAAAGCCCAGCCCACTGTTTCAAAGTTGGCACCGCCTGGCCCATAAAATTCTTAGCATTTGAAAATAACTACGTGGTCTTCTCTCCAGGTATGGCCCACTCACAGCCATCCATATTTTTTTCTTGGTCAAAAGTCAAACAAAAATGCTATTCTTATCATGTAATTGTATTATTTTTCTAATAGAGATAGAACTCATATGCGTTAGCGGACTTTATCTTTATTAGGAAGATGATGCAATTAGACGGTAAGTATATCATTACTCAAAGCCAAAACCCTCTGTCATATTTGAATCAAAAAATTTATAATGAGTAATCCTATAGAGATCATCTATTTAATTATATTTTGTTCTATATGACATGGTTTTTATTAACATATTATTTTCTATGAGTAACACATCACATGATTTACAAATTTGGTCTACAAAGTTTGTTTACCTAACATTACTCTTTCATAAAATATTTGCTTATACTATTTTCAGGTATTAATATGCATGGCTTGTTTGGAAGTGTTTTCAAAATGACTAAAAATGATTTTGATGAGTGTTTTTGAACCAATCATTAGTAAAAATGCAAGTCAATTCTGAAAAAACACTTAAGTGTTTTCTGCGAGAAGCACCAATTATGTATTTCTTTTATATTTATATATGTATATATGTGTATATATGTTCTTGTATCCATGCAAGCAGAATGAACTGAGATATCTGCATTCGGTTATATGTTAATTCATGATGGTGGGTATTGGGTAAGAATTAGATGAAAATGTACGTTTGCATGTGCATTTTATTGATCGATTTGGTTGGTTGTTGAGAAAAATATGATGGACAAATAATTACAAACGTTTATTTTGATAGGTTTGAGTGCATTGTATTTTCCATTTTCCACAAACATGTATTGTATTAATTAGGGTTTAATGTGTTGGTTGTTTCACTGAAGTTGTATTTTCAATTTTTGGTCGAAATCAGCATTTTTTTTCCATTAAAATTTGTTGTAATTAACGTAATTATTATTGCAAATGGGATTTCAGAACTGAACTGTGTCGTTTTAGTGGTTTTAAAATGTACCCTCACTACTAGAAATTTCCACTTTGCCGACAAAATTAGTTTGTCGGCAAAAGTCAAAATTCGTCGGCAAATAGCCTTTCCCAACAAAAAATTTTGTCGGCAATTTTGTCGCTAAAAGCATGTCGCACAAGGTCTTTCTCGACGAATCTTGATATTTCGTCGGCTCATTTTTAAGGCAACAAATCTCAGCCGACAAACTGTGCCCGTCACCAAAACAACATTGCGACAAAATATTTTGTCAGCATAGGTTGTTTTTTCGTGATGAAGTTATTTGTCGGCTTAATGATCTTGTCGCAACAAAACATTTTGTCAGCTGAGTAATCTTGTCGCGACAAAATGGTTTTTCGGCTACGTAGTCCTATGCTAACAAACTGGTTTGTCGGCTCAAATTACTTGTGTAGACAAAATAATTGGTTGGTTGAATCTTTTGTGAACAAAAACATTTGTCGGCTAATTATTTTTGTGCCGACAAAACATGCCAAGTCCAATGTTTTCTAATTTTGATTTGCATTTGTTTTTAATAATATTTTTAACCATCACAAACAAGCAAGCTTAAGAGATCAAGAAGGGGCGGAAATGAAGAATTAATGTAGGAACAACACAAAATTCTTGTAATATAAGCTAATGTAAGGTTCACAATTCGGTTCAGTAACAAAATACAAAAATATCTATGTTTTCATTTCAACATTACTATAATATAGATAAAATATCCTTGAGTATCACCATTCTCACTATAGTCCTCATCACGTTGATATGCAGCATCACTAAATCAGGAAACGATGAGGATCATCATGAAACATTCCAGTATATCAAACAACTGTGGAAGAAAGACAAATAAAAAAACTTGATTAGCAAACATTAAGGGTGCTAAATATCATTGACATTAAGGAAACGCAAGGCCACACTAGAGTGGTATTTCTAAAAAAAATAACTTATGAAACCATAAATGTGTAAACAAGATAAAGATATCTACTAATGATGTTAACTTACCGACCCCCTGCAACATCACAACCTAGCAAAATTACATGTTTAATAGATACCAGGTAATAATCAAGTTAGCATCAACTACTTATATGTCATTCATCACTGTAAACAACAAGATAAACATTATTAACAGCAAGGCAACATGATTCTCACACTCTGTAAACAAGGCAACATGATCATCTGGTCTTTATTACATGTCATATAAGAAAGTAGAGAGGACATATTGAATTTTTTCTTTGTTATTTTCTACTTTACTACTTTTTTAATGTCATTATGTTACTAAGTTATCTTGTAAATGCAATTCAATATTTTCTTTGTTTCACTTAGTTTACGTGTTTCTTAGGTTTGAAGAGTGAAGATGAAGAAAGAAGAAAACAGAGCACTTTTTCGATTGAAATGAGTTTAGTATCCTGGAAGTAGGAACTGACTGCAGGTCAGCCAACTTTATGAGTTAAACTGCACTTCCTCAGAAGGAACCAAGTGTTGAGCCTTATACCATTGGAAAAATATGGAAGTTAGCTTTCAGAGGAATTTTACGGTTCATGATTCCGATTTCTGTAGAAGACGTTATAGCAATTTTTGTACAGGACGTTTGTCCTTAAGTGGTATTTGCAAGGTGATTTCGGATTTACAAGTTTTAATTAAAGAAAACGTGCAAAGCAAAAGGAGAGTTTCTATAAGAGTTTAAGACTATCCTAAAAGGTTCAGAACTATTATTTTTATGGTTTTGGTGTGCCACATCATCAACATTCCAATTCAAATAACGAGAGTTAGAGAAGTCATATTCAAGCAACGATTTGAGAATTTATTCAAGAGAAAAAGGAAATAGGGAGAAACTTTCGAGACTAGGAGTAGTAGTCTTAGCAAGTAAATCATAAGTAGATGATAAAAATCCTTGAAAGGTCTATAATTTATATAAACATAACAATACCAATCACCTAGTTAAGTAGATTATAACTCTAGAACATAAGCATATGCACCTGAAAACATAAATAAACTATACTAAAGCATCCTAATTCATCACTGTTTATAATCTTTATCAGTGTAAACAAGAAGATATAGACACCTACTAATCAAGTTAATCCTCAAATATCAAAATTACCTGGCGTGAATGATACTCACACTGGTCTCCATGCTGTGCTGATACCAGTTGTAAGCTATCTAGCCCAGAATTCCACTTAGCCATAGACAACCTGCAAGTGTTATAGAAAGGAAAAACAAATATTATACAAATGGATGCCCAAATCAACCAAAAATTGGATACCTAGATCATAAAACTCGAACCGAAATAGTTTCATCCATAAATGCGATTCAATCAAAGCAAATACAATTATTTCATTTTCCAATAAAAACATGGAAAACGAAAAAAATAAATTAAAAAAAAAACTAATGGCATATATATATATATATATATATATATATATATATATATATATATCAGGGACACAAACAGTTGCAGAGGCGTGGATTATACCTTTTCATCTTGGATTTGAGAACTTGGTGTCGTCTTCGATCTGGAGGCTTCTACACAGAGAATACATCATAAGACAGTCATCTTCTATTTTTCTTTGATCTACTATGATCGGAGATGAAATTAAAAGTAGAAGGTGAGAAAATTTTACCTGTGAGTGTGTCTGCACCAAGATCAGGAGGTTTGGAATCCTGACTTGCCCGGCTGAGCCCAATTTATGAAGAGCAGTCAAAATGGAGGAGCGGATCTGACCATGGCGATGGTGATTCTGTGCATGCTTCTGATTCTACATCGCACCTGCAAAACGGCCGACAAATTAATGCAGCGGTGGATCGATAGTGAAAGACGACGGAGGGAAGAGTGAAGTCGGGCTGTCTACGACGACTCGAACGGATCGAAATACATCATGGGCTGGTCTCGTGAGTCTGGGTCTGGGAGATGAGGATTAGGTGTGGATTTGTGTTTTGTTGGAATGGATCTCTTGGGTTCTTGAATTTTCGGTGGTGGGCAGCAAGCGACATGGAGAGGAGGCCGTGGATTGCGACAAAGCGATGGAGAGAGAGAAGTTGCGAGAGTTTGAGAAATGAAGGATGGAGGCTAGGCATTTGTTTCTGAAAGAGGAAAGGCAGAGAAGTTGTGGGAGAGATGAAAAGGAGGAGAGAGCGCGCGGTTCTCTTTGGAAATTTAGTTTTTAGGCGCCACGCCAAAATTTTGGCAGCCCGCCAAAAACACTTTTATGATTTAATTGCTAGATTAAATTCAACGGTAAGGATTTAATCTCACATATGTAAGATTAAATCTTATAGCTGATCTAACCGTCAAACTTGTTTGTATATACTTCAAGATCGTATACGTAAAAATTTGCAAAAAACTGGCATTCAAATACTAGGTAACCGAACGAAACATTTTGAAAACGAAAACTCACGATTTAATGATTATTTTAACTTCGATTTTGATATTTTTTACAAATACACTCATTAACCCTATAAGAGTACGATGAACCAATTCAATCTTCAACTTAAAATACTTGCACTAGTTGATACCACAAAATATTATGTCCTACTTAATGAAAGTATAAAATAAGCTCCAAGTGTTTGCTGAATCTTTCGTTTTGAAGGGATACACATTCTACAAAACTAGTTTCAAAGATCCAACCGTCAAACTTATTTGTATATGCTCCAAGATTGCATATATAAAAAATTGCAAAAACCTGACATTTAGATATTAGGTAACGGGATGAAACCTTTCGACGGTTATAAACGAAACGTCACGATTTAACGGTGATTTTAACTCCGATTTTGATGATTTTTTACAAATACACTCCTCAACCTTATAAGAATACGATGAACAAATTCGATCTTCAATTTAAAATATTTGCACTAATGGATACCACAAAATATTTTGTTTTATCTAATGAAAGTATAAAATAAACTCCAGTGTTTGTTGAATCTATCGTTTTGACGGAATACACATTCTACAAAACTACTTTCAACGATCCAACCGTCAAACTTGTTTGTATATGCTCCAAGATCGCATACGTAAAAAATCGCAAAAAAATGACATTCAGATATTAGGTAACGGGATAAAACCTTTCGACGGTTATAAAAGAAAACTCACGATTTAACAGTTATTTTAACTCCGATTTTGATGATTTTTTACAATTACACTCCTCAACCATATAAGAATACTATGAACAAAATTCGATCTTCAATTTAAAATATTTGCACTGATTCTACTTAATGGAAGTATAAAATAAACTCCTAGTGTTTGTTGAATCTATCGATTTCCCGGAATACACATTCTACAAAACTAGTTTCAACGATCCAACCGTCAAACTTGTTTGTATATGCTCCAAGATCGCATACGTAAAAAATCGCAAAAAAAAAAAGACATTCAGATATTAGGTAACGAGACGAAACCTTTCAACGGTTATAAACGAAAACTCACGATTTAACGGTTGTTTTAACTCCGATTTTGATGATTTTTTTTACAAATACACTCCTCAACCCTATAAGAGTACGATGAACACATTGGATCAACCTTATAACATTGTATTGTCCTTATAACAATTAGAAATATTAAGTTTCACAAACTTGGGTCGTCTGCGAGAAATGTTTTTCTCGCTGAACACTTATGCGACCCAAATACAAAATTTGTCGCTGTAAATGTGAATACAAGGCGCCCTATTTGAAACTTTTAGAAAATTATATGGGAATGCTACAACAAGAACCCATTTTTCTCGCTAAAAATTTATTCAGTGAGAAAAACAATAATTTCCTCACTAATATTTTGGCGGGAAGGGAATATAATTCCCGCTAAACCTAAAGCGAGAAGAACAATTTTTCCTCGCTAGCATTATGTACAGCAACAAAACAATTTTCTCGCCGAAATTATTTTTTCCGCGCTGTTTCTTAGAGATGTAAGGAGACCAAATGAGCTCACTTTTTGTGAGAACTCAAAATTTTCCTCGCCAAAAGCAACTCTACAGTGTGAAAGATAATGTTCTCGCTGAAACGTTTCTCGCTAAAGGACCAATCTGTTGTAGTGTATATGAAACTAAGGGACGGTGTTGGTACCAAGTAACAGATTCATGATAAACCGTTCATTTATTTGATTAATATACATTATCTATGACGGGAAGATCCCAGCCAGAATATAACAGGATATTTTTAAGGATTTTTCTTTAGTTTTCCTTTTTTATTAAAGTATAACAAGGTATGTTTATATCTTTCGCCGAAATATTAACCAAAATTTCATTAAAGGCCTATAATTTATTTAATCTCTTGACGAAAAGTAGGAGGAGCAACTCTGATAGCAAATGTAGATCGTAACTGGGATGGCAGAGGCAGGAGTCTTGTTGACACAAGAGGTCGTTTCCTTTTTTGGCTAATCATTGGCATCTACAAAAAAAAAAAAAAAAAAGAACAAGTTTAAGTTAAATGTAAATACATATATCGAGTGCATTAGAATTCATTGGTAAGAATAAATATGGTTACTTGTGGTGTAGCTTTTGCAAAATTATGGAGACCATCGTGAGAGCGAGAGAAGTGAGAGATGATAAAATCAGCTAAGAGTGCAAGAACCCTAATATATAAACCTAGGGATAGAATCGTTAAAATTGTTTCATAGCGAAAAGACCCCGCCAAGTTGTTACAAGATAAATAAGAATTATTATGAAACTGAAATCGAATGGCGCGAGCAAAGAATATGGGAGGGAAGTCATGAGCAATTTGGATTAGCATGCAATTGGGAGGGAGATCATGAGGCGACAAAATAGGATTAGCATGCAATTGGGGGATGTGAACCGACAATTGGGGAAGTGAACCGACAATTGGAATAATTAAAATATTATGGGACGGAGATCATGAGGCGGCAAAATAGGATTAGGAAGAATATGGGAAAGAGATCATGCAATTGGGGGATGTGAACCGACCAAATAGGTTTGGATTGCCTTGGGACATTTATAAGTTTGTTCTTATAATTATATGTTATGTTTTTAGAAAACTTGGCATGGTTGTCGAATTAGAATGGATGATTACATACAACCGTATTCAAATTTACAATTGTAATTGACTAATTGACTAATACTTGATCATAACCTAAACCAAGTTATCTGTTGCTAGAAAGTAGTTTGGAGTTAGAATTGATAGGAAGAACTTTTTCACTACATGATCTAGATTTAAAGTTTTACAACATAATTTTCGCATGAGAATATTAGTTAGTTTGCATGGAATGTATATGAATGCGAACATAACGAGATTGGGTTAAGTTGCAAGACTAATACTATAAGGAACTTTTTAGTTTTCTAAACACTCACATATTATGAAATCAAATTGTCAATATAGATTATTGATGGCTAAAACTACAATCCAGAAATATGAAAAGCTAGATATCTCTTTATCTATGCTCCTGTTCGTATAGAGAAACAAGAAAGAGAGAATGAGAGCGTCGCCAAGAGCTTTGATTGCGTTCCCCGGAAAAAAATGGAGAGGTGCACTGGTGAAAACCTCTCACGTAGAGTTATTATTACTTTGCCAATGACATACTTTATTGCCTCTCTAATTAATTTGCTGATGAAATACTTTGTTGCCTCACATCATCGGCTAATATTTCAATATAGCGGGAAAAGTTCCCGCCAAAGTTTACCCGTCAAAACAAAATTCATCAAGGCGTCGAATTTGCTCCTACAAAATGATCGTCGGCTAACATTCTAATTTTCTCGGCTAAGATTAACACTGTAAATTGGTTCTAGCGTGAGTATTCAGCCGATATATGTCACTTCTGATAAAGCATGTACTCATGTAAAGCATATAGTCAGACTTGAATCAAGACTTGAATTTCACTTGCATCTTGGATGATAAAGCATGTACTCATGTAATCAAGCATATGGTAAAAGATATTCCAAACCTTGCAATCAACATCTCAGACCACCTACCATTAGAGAGCTACTCTTTAATCCCTTAATAAGATGCAATTCAAAATGAATGAAAGAAGGTACAATAAGTTACGCAATAATAATTAAAAGATGTTCAACTCTGGGATTAATTAGTTGCCCTCAAGAATACAAAGAAAATCCTCAAACATAAAAAATTTCTCACAACTTGATCAAATTTTATTAATGACGACAGTTGTAACTTATTGGGGAATCAAAATTGCTTACACAATGCTCCTTGCTCATGTCTAGCATAGACATAATCAAACTATTCGTCTATGTACTTGAAATAAACACAAGGCAGAGCAAGCAAAGCGTACAATATATTCCTAGCACAATCAAACTTACCAGTACAAAGCTCCTTGCTCAGAGTGTTGTGCACAATAGAGGGACAAAATATACAATATATTCTTGTCATTAGCTGAATGATAGAGTAACACAAGTTAGGAATCCATGAGAAAACATAACAGAGGGATAATTCATACGATATACTTGAGATAAAATTCACCATCACCAGCCTCATAAGCAAGTGCAACTACATTAATTTCAAGCACACGCACCTGGAATAAAAATAACAAGACTAATTTAATAGTATTATTATTATAATCTTGATGAAGAGAAGACTAAGTTAATATAGACTTGCACTTGTCAAACCAAGCTATTAGAAATCTTTCGAAAGAAGAACACTGGACCTGAAAACATCTATTGACCAGAAAATCAAAAAAGAAGAAATAAACTCCAAATTACAGATTAAGCGAATAGAGATGGATCGAACCTTGAAAATTGAAATTTCAAATAAGAGAAAGGTTATAGACCTACAATGATCTGGGTATCGGCAACTGGGTTCGGGTCTGGGTTTCTGAGAGGAGAGAGAATCGTATAAAGAACCGATGGCTAAAAAGCATCCTTGGCAAGAAGAAAACACATTCAATAGAAGACACTTTGATACAACAAGCTGTTAAAAATTAGAAATTGGGGATGGGCTGCAATAACACCATAGTGTTACGATAAACCATGAAAGCCTAACCAATTTGTCAACAATACACGATGAAAGTTTGCAGCAGTAAACTGAACCGCTCTTGAGAACAGGATTACTTGTGCAACACAAAACGCATAGTTACAGCTCTGCCAAGATTGTACACATCTACATATGAGTTGTGTAACAACTACATATGTTGGATTATTCAAAAAATTTGCAAACAACAAGGAGTTTAGAAGGGTTTAGAGAGATCCTGGCAAATAGCTAACATTGTACATGTTACCCGTCAATTTGAAGAAGGCATCACTTGCATAAACTCCTTGCTCATGTCTGGCAAGTGCAGATCAGTTCTGCAAGGCAACACAATCATATCAAAGAAAATAAAATGTAAAATCATCAGTACGACTGTAAGAGATAAAATTAAGGCTGAACTGAGAAGGCCTACCCCTGATAAGCTGGATCTCTTCCCACAAACTAGCTAGGATGGCCATTAACTCTGGACAAGATTGTATTAATCGCAGTTGCAGCTCTCGTCTTCTCTACATCACTTGCCTTGCACGATTCTTCAATGTCGGATCCTGCGTGTTACATAGTAAACTAAGACTCAACCACAACAACAATTTGGTCACAATCAAAACCAGAAACCGCGATCAACATAGCTAGAACACCAAAAAGAATGTAATTTAACATTAACATCACAACCAATCATAGATAACAGGAAACCACAATTGAAAAAGTAATATATTACAACATTACTTGGAACAAAAAAAATTAAGATGTGGCATTACACGAACCTCTACTATTAGCATCATCTAGTGCAGATTCCAAAACCTTTGCCCTGTTCCTCAGTCCCTTCCACAAAACATTTGCCCCTCTGTGTTCGGTCGAGTCCCAAATAACATGTGGGGATTAGGAAGTGGATCAACAATCAAAATTAACAACCCAAATTGTCGTATACACCAAGCCTTGCAACTTAAAATGTTAAATTAAATTTTCCAACTTAAAACCCTAAATTAGATCCTACAAATTGAACTGGCAGACATAGAATTAGAGAGGAGAAGGAAGATAATCACTTAAAGAGGTCACTGACCTTCGAGTTCTTGGCAGCTTTGATGGTTTTTTTTATCCAACCTAAAAAACATAACACACGATAGGCTCGCAACCTAATACAAATTCAAGCCCACAAATTCCATTTCAATTTTGACAACCCTAAGAGAATTACAGAGACAATTGATGGGTTTATGCATCAGAACTTAAATTGAAGATGACAATTAGAAGGGAAAGAAAAAGAAAAAAAAAAAAAAAAAAACACCTTTTTGAGGGCTTTGAATTTGACGGCAGTTTCGATCTCCAGCCGAAGGAGGCAGTCGGTCGGTCTGTGTATTTGCAGCGACGAGGGAGAGGGAGAGGGAGAGGGCGAGGGAGAGGGAGTGGGACGGAGAGAAATAACAGCTTCGTGTTTGACTAAAGCGCTTAATTTTTTTCTTTTTTTCTAACTCCGCGCTACTGTTCTGAAACCGCGCTTTTATTCCGCGCCTTATTTTTGGTTAATAGTTATTTCCTCAGCTGACGAAATATTTTTTGTTGCCCCGAAATCGTCGTATAGTATTCTAAGATAGCAGGGAAGGGGGCAGTTTACCCGTCAAAATTAAACTCGTCAGGACATTGTATTTATGCCGACAAAATGATCGTCGGTTAATATTTGAATTTTCTCGGCTAAAATTAATGCTATAAATTGGTTTTCGCTTGAATATTTAGCCGATAAATTAGAATTTTAGTCGGTAAATGACTCTTGTGCCGATAAAATTTTACTTTGTCGGCTAAGAATTTGTCGGCAAAATAATATTTTCTAGTAGTGCCTAGCAAGGGCATAAGATATGGTCTATCTGATTCCCAGGTAAAAACCATACTCAAGGTCCATAGTGGGAGCTACATTGGAGATCGGTCATATATAAGAGAAGAAGCGAGAAATCTGAGAGGTTCGAGATGCTACTTTTAGGTAGGTATATATTTTCCATGTTAAATTATGTCATCGTTAATAAGTTTTATAAACAACGCTAGGCTTAATTAAGAAGCAATGATTAGTAGTTTATAATTATATATATATCACTTCATCATGTATGCATTGTGCAGTGAGATTAAGGAGACGATTAAGGAAACCGAGGACTAAAAGAAGGCAAAGAAGGTAGAAGCAATGGCTAAGTCACAAACGTCTCAAGGCAAAGTGAACTTGCCAAAGGGTGCTGGACCCAAGGGCCCCAAGGCTGGTGGTAGTCGGGCCAAGGGCAAGCGCTGAACATGATCATCTCAGATTCTGCTCAAATTTTCCGTGAGTGGGTTGATGATTGATAATTGATTGTCCTGGATGTAATCTGGTTTGTTCTTTCATCGAACTTTTTATCTTTCTTGCAGCTGAGTAAGTAAATAAAGGAGGATTGGCAATTTGTCTGCATTTTTAATTTTTTAGCAGTTTGTTAAAAAATGAATTCGCTTAAGAGTGTCGGATAGCATGAAAGCCCTTCTCTTGATTTTAAGATTTGTCGATCTGCAAGTATTCCAGTACCATGAAAGTTCTTCTTATGCTTTAAAATTGTTGATCTTGCAATGATTTAAAGGGTAAAAATAAAAGTAAAAGTTGATGTATAATGATTGGCATGCTTGCAAAGTAAAATCATTTGGTGATTAGTGTTTGGGACACTTAATTTGGATACGGTTCCTAACTATCAATATTTTTTTTACTGAAACCTTGTTAGTTTTTAGTTTTTTATCGAAGTCTTTGACATTAATGTAATAATGTAAGTTACTATATTTTTTAAATTATAAATTAAAAATTGAAATTTGTAATTGTTTATGTTAATGAGATTTTAAATAAAACCCATAATTTGTGGAATTAAAAATAATAAAATATAAATTATACTCTCTATTATATTGTCACATCCCGACCCGGGCGGGACCACTTCCCGAGCCCGACTCCACCGTAGCACGATATTGTCCGCTTTAAGCCCCCAACACACCCTGATTTCGGTCGGGGTGTTTCAGTTTGGTATTAGAGCCTAACCCTGGTCGTGGTGTGCCGACGAGGACGTCGGGCCCCTAAGGGGTGGATTGTGACATCCCACATCACCCAGGGGTATGATCCTTATATGTATATTATCATCCCTACCTAGCACGAGGCCTTTTGGGAGCTCATTGGCTTCGGGTTCCATGGGAACTCTGAAGTTAAGTGAGTAGCGCGCGAGAGCATTCCCAAGATGGGTGACCCATCGGGAAGTTCTCGTGTGAGTTCCCAGAAACAAAACCGTGAGGGCGTAGTCGAGGCCCAAAGCGGACAATATAATGCTACGGTGGTGGAGCGGGCCCGAGAAGTGGTCCGCCCCTGGGCGGGATGTGACAATATTGTGTGTGTGTGTGTGTGTGTACACATACATATATATGGGTACATTCACCAAAATTAACAAAAAAAGTTATTGTACCAAAATATGGGTACATTAATCAAAACCATAGAAAAAAAAGAAGATATTAAGCTTAATAATATTAGTAAATTTTTTGGATCAAACTTGATATGGATACATTCTCAAATCAATGAAAAAGAATGTACCCATTTTATATATAAAAAAAATGATACATTTTACATATAACAAATGGTATATTTAAGAATGGGTACATTTAAGATTAAAAAAATTGAAAAATTATATGAAGGGGCACATTTAAGATTAAAAAATTGAGAATCTTTTTATAAAAGAAAAAACTAATAGGTACAAACTTAATCTAATTTTATTTTTTATTATTTTGGAAATATTTGAATTGAAAATTAATTATGAGTTTAATAGAGGTGTGAGTATTAAATCCTAAACTAATTACTAATTTTTATATTAACAAATTATGTAATAAACATGTAAATTCATTATCACATTAATGCTATGGACTTCAATCAAAATTTGAAAACTAATAAGGTCTTAGTCAATGAACATTAGAAACTAGGGACCTGATACTAATTTTTCCTTAGTGTTTCGATCTTAGGCTTAGGGTTTCTTTTGTTGTGGACCCTTTTACAGAAGTCTGTGGAAGAATCAAGAGAGACAGGAAGAATTTCCCAACTGTAGGTATAAAATGTGATGATGGTAAGGGGGGAAGTAGGGTATACATAAGCAAGCAAAGCAACAAAAGAACCTCAGACCAACCCAACAAACTCCACCAGCACATCATTCTGATTGACCAACACAAAAGAAATGGTTAGCAGGATTCCTGCAGATTGATGTACCTGTTTCATCTTCCATCGTATGCTCTCGTTTTTAACAATCCTATTCTAATCGAGTTACTAAGATAACAATACTATTCAAGAATTTTTTGATATATTATCGAGTTACTACGATAATAATACCATTAAATTTTTTTTTCCTAATATATAACATAAGTATACTCGTACGTCATGAAACGAAAAGAGGAATCATGCAGCACTAGGTAGGGAATAAAGTGAAGAACTTTAGAACCAGCTAATTATAATGGTTTGATGAGATCATTTTCCAAGATAGAGCACATGTATAAGAACTTTAGAACCAGCTAATTATAATGGTTTGATGAGATCATTTTCCAAGATAGAGCACATGTATAAGTTATAAATGGTAGGAAAATCATGAAACAACAAACAAGATTACTTTCTTTCCACAAATTTAGAGCATAAACTAATGTTTGAGACAAATATAAACAAAAGGTCAAGAGCTTGAGAAAATAATTCAGACTTTTTCTAGAGTTGAAATCCTCTGTGGATCACATTGTTTAGAGTTTAAGGATCAACAAATCCGGACCATTCAAATTGAATCCAAGGTACTTATTAACTCATTTCACTGGTTCACCTCACACAAATTAAAAGCCCGATCCCTCTTAAACGGTCCAGATTCGCTGGTCCTTAAGTTTCAAACAGTAAAGTCCAGAGAAGATCTCAATTCATTTTCCCAAATAATTTTCTTCTCTCTATTAAGTTTTTGCTTGGAATTGGACCCCTAGAGGTATATACCATATTCCTTTCCAGTTAAAACTCGTACAAGCAATCCATTGCATTTAAAAGTAAAGAAGAGTCACTTAATACTACGGTCTAGTGATATTTCTCTTCATTTAGAAGCAAGAGGTCTTAAGTTCAAATCTCATGGACGACGAATTCGATATCAAATTAGACTGCCCATTATGTGGCTATGCTAAAGTCGTATTTCAAAATAAATAAAAAATGCAAAAGAGTATTCTGGGTCCGTTTCTTTTTTATATGAAAAAGGAAAACGAAATGGTAGGTGGAAAACGAGTCCACAGTTGCATGGTCTTCCACACCCAACAAAACCAATCATTTTAAACCACGTCAAACATCTTTCCAATTCACGACGATATCAAAAGAAATTTTTAATTGTGTCGAGAATACGGATAATACATCATGTGTTTTTATGCAAGTCGTGAAAAATTTTAATTTTTAAATTATTAACCTTTTAACACACATAACCTACTATTTATATAAGAACACGTGATGGTGTATCATCTTGTGTGACGGTCACACTGGAAAATCTCTCGATATCAAAGTGAGAGGGCACGTGACTATTGACGTGGAGACCACCGATTGACCCCGAAACATGTGCATGCACAGGGCTCAACAGCTTATGTAACAGTAACACCCAACGATGGAGACTGTGGCAGTTAGATACAAGAAAATGGCGAGCCCACCGTTTTCTTCCACTCTCCCACTCCTTTAAAACACCTTCCCACCAACTCCATTAAAATCCCAGTTCCCAGAGAGTTTCAGAGAACAAAAAACCACCATTTTTTGTCGCAAAAAACCAAACAAAATGCCTGCAGCTTGTGAAGATGCGGAAAACAGGCGAGCGAAAAACAGAGCAAGACAGCAGAGCTACTCGTCGTCCTCGTACGGGGTCGATGATTCGGAAGCCCAGTGGACTTCTTGGTTGGTGCCAATGATTGTTGTCGCCAATCTTGGAGTCTTTCTGTTGGTCATGTACGTCAATAACTGTCCCAAGAACAATTATGCGGCCGCGCAGGGGAAGTGCACGGCGAGGTTTCTCGGGCGGTTGTCGTTTCAGCCTCTGAAGGAGAACCCTCTATTCGGTCCTTCTTCCTCCACGTAATTTTACTTTCTCTGGTTTTCTAATTTAGTAAATTCTTACCCACTTTCCAATTTTCTGTTTTTTGTCTGTTGGTGTTTCTGTTTTGGTGGTTGAAATTCTGGTATTTGCTCTTTTGAATCCACTTGAATTTTTGGTGATCAAATTTTGAATTTTTTGTGGCAATAAATTAGATGGATTGGAAGAACTGCTTGTCAGCTTGAGAAAACTTTTGAGCATCTGGGGCATTTTTTTAATGATTTTTGGTGAAAATTGGGATCGTTACATAGAGAGTTGCTATTAACACTCGAGAAATGTTGTCCTGCGCTCTTGGAAGTACAATATGTTTTTATAAGATCGGAGTTCGGGACAACTTCTTTGTAGTGACAGTAACAACTTCACCGGC